TGACGGCAGCCCGGCGGTGCTGCTGGGTGTGCGAGCTGTGAAGCGTGTGCTTTGCACTGCATTTCCCGCTCTAAAAACTACGTTTCAACGTCTGCTCCCAGTATGTCGCATGCAAGTGCGTAAAGCCGCCAGTCCCCGTAGCCAGGGACCATCTGGGAAATATCCAGCGCTCGCTCTGGGTTTGGTGTGGAAAAGCATGTTCGTGGTGCCCTGGGCTAGCGTGAGGAGAGCGGTGGGCCTGGGCCTGCTGGGAGGGTTCAGCTCCCGGCCCCCAGTACTCCAGGGGCACTCTGCTGCCAGCAGCAAGGGCATGGGCAACTGCATTTGAGTCAGGCCCTGTGGTTTTATTTAATCGTTTTGCTGGAATTAAGTTTAACAGGTATGACCAGCTCCTGGTAATGGTTTTTCAGCTGTTTGACTTCTGATAATGCTGCTGTGACTGAAAGATGGGGGAGAAGGTGCATTTTAGTTGTCATCATCTAAAAATCATTACTGTTTTTCTGCAGATGGTGTAAGCACGGAGGTATTGTTGCCCTCTGGCAGGTGCTCTGTTAGCTGCTTCATGAATTTAAATGACATTTAAGATACAGAACTTTGAAAACTAAAGAAGCCATTAGTAACTTTTCATGTTTCAACAGATGACTAGATTAAATCTGATCAATGTTATTTTGAGCAGATAAGGACTTTGGTGAAAAAGAGTGAAGAAAAATCAATGCATGCAAAATAATCAAATAGATTAAAAGAGTAATTAACTTATTGATTAAAACTTTAGTAGTAGATAGTGAACACCTGTCTGAATCTTGTTAGCCTTGGGGAAAAAAAAATCAGAGTAAGACACGTGATTTGTTTTCAGGCAGAGTTAAAAATCTCTGCAGCTGTTTCTTGTGTGGTGTTCTATATGAGGTAGACTTCGACCTATGTTTTGTGTTCTATATAACAGTATATATTTTTTCTTTTTTATTTATTTCAGGCTGTTCTGTTTTTGACAAGTAATTCTTTTCTACAGATCAGCCATGTTCTGGGCAATTTTTTATCTTTCTGGATATAATCTGGAAACAGAGACACTGGAAAAAGATGGAGCTTTAGCAGAAACTACTTTCAACTAAACCTTCCTTTTTGCCTTACTACTTTGAAAACATCTTTGTTTAATATGATTTTTTTTTTCCTGTAGAATTTTGTCAGCAAAAGAAAATAAAGAAGTTTTACTTTAAGCTTTGACCAACAAAAGAAATTGTGGAGTAACACTTTAAATTAAGAAGCTTGCCAGGAAAATGTGAATATGCTTTCTAGGCATGCTTATGGGGGAAGCAGAATTGCTTCTGTCTTTCCCTGGTCTTATCACACAACTTCCTACAGGTGTTGGTCATTCTGTGCTGTGATATTTCAATAAGTGGCATTTGTTGTCTTGATTTCAGGGGGTCAGTGTTGCATGGCTTTGCTTGTACTATTCAAAACATCAAGATTGTTTGGAAAATACCTTAAAATGGTTTTAAAGTTGTTATATCTACTCCTTTCTTTTGTTGAAGCTTCCTTGTAATAGCTATAGAAGCTGTTGAGGTCTGTGTAAGACTATCGATTTATAATTTGACCTCAGAAAGGATACGGTCAGTAGTGCTTTGGTTTAGGCATGCCTCAGTTACTCATATAAGCACCACAGCTTCACCCCTATGAATATTGATGCACTTTACCTAATGATTTTGTCTTGAAGGCTGGTGGAGTTGCTGGTATCTGTGTTGACTTGATCCTTTTTCCCCTGGATACTGTAAAAACCAGACTGCAGAGTCCCCAAGGATTTAGGAAGGCTGGTGGCTTTCGTGGCATCTATGCTGGTGTTCCTTCCACTGCTATAGGATCCTTTCCAAATGGTAACTTTCTTTGGATTATGCTTTGTCATCTTTAAGTGAGAACTTATGTAGTATAGGACATTCATGTCCGTGGCTCCTGCTCCTGCAGGAAAAGCAACCCTTACTCCTTGAAAGCATTCCTGGATATGTCTTATCAGCCTGTCCTTACTTGTAAGGGCACCCTAAAGCATTTCCAGGTGCCACAAAGGGCTTGAGTCTTGCTTGCCTTGGACACTTTTGTCATGACCCACTCTTTCACTGCATTGGAAATGAATGAAAAATCAGAGTGCTTGAGCAGTGTAGGTCTTTGAGCTAATTGCCTTGGGGCTGCTATGCCCGATTTTTCTCCCTGGAAACAACTACAACACTTAGAATGAGAAAACATCAGGAATACTTTTGAAACTGAAGCTTTAAAAAAATAAGTGCTTGTACTCCCTGCAGAGAAAAGACATCTAAAATTGCTGGTGTCTTTGTCCATTTTGTCTTTGTGGGGAGAGACAAAAAAGCAGCAAGCTGTGCTGTCAGTAGTAAATGTTAGGAGAACTTTACTGACAAAGCCAGTGACGCCTTCAGATATTTGATGTCCTTCATAAGATGATATAAAAAAAATTCAGTTCTTTATCTTGTCTGCTCTGTTATCTGCTTTTGAGGCGATAAGCATCTTTTGATTAACAGAAGGCAATTCACATAGCCCTTCTTTACAACTAAAATCCGTTCCCCTGCAAGACATGTCATTTTTTTCAGACATTCCATCTTCAAAATCAGAACTGTGGCTTTATCTTTCCAACGTATCACTGAGAACTGAAATTATCTTTAGGAGAAGGAGTAACCCTGAAGGAGCAAGTGCCTTTGTAGTTGACTGTTGCAGTGTATAAACACAGCTCATATTGCAATGCTCTGTTTAGTTTTGTATGTTTCTTGTTCACTGGACAGAACTATTAAGAGTCCTTCAGAAGCTTAGAAGAATTTTTTTATGGAGCTAAGGTGCAAAATATTAAACTGATGATAGCTAGGAAGAAGCTATTAATAACTTCTACTGAAACACTTTTACACAACAGAGTAGCAGACTTGTATCAAGTACCTGGATGACTTTTGGGTTGTTTTTTTCTTTCTTTTCAATTAATCAGCTGATTTCTTTTGTTTGTGGCTGGTCCATTCCCTGTTCTGTCTGTTGTCCTGTGTCCCGTCCCCCGTGTGTGTCCCCGCAAAAAACCCCCATCCATCCAATTCAAGCAGTTGATCTCCTCTCTACCCTTCCTATTTATGAATATAGAAGATGTAGTTTTTTTAAAAAACCTACGAGACGTGCATGACTAACACATCTTTCCTTATCTCAATACTAAATATTGCCTTAAGTCCTGACACTTCAATGTTAATGGGAGGTTTGCCAGTGATAGCCAGGAGCATAAACTTCTGAAGGAAATATCCAACAGATTGTGTTGATACTGTTGTACTGTTTTGGGGCAAAAATATCCTGTCTTCAACTACAGTTGCAGAATAATAGGTAACAAAATCCACCTCTAAATGTTTTTGTGCTAGTTCTGTGATGGAGGAGCAGTTAAATGACTGCATGTATTCTTGTATTTTAGCTGCTGCATTTTTTATCACCTATGAGAATGTGAAATCCATGCTGCACTATGTCTCTACACCTTACTTGACTCCAGCAACACACATGGTGGCTGCCTCCCTTGGAGAAGTGGTAAGAAAGAAATTCCGATGTTGTATGTCTGTGGGAGGAGAGGAAACCACCTGGTTTGGTGTCACATCTTACTCTTGAGTGTTGACCATCTTTGTACTTGTGACAGTTCTTACAAAAACCCTACTTTTTTTAATGAAGTGTTGGCACTTGTAAGGATTGTTTCAAAGTGCATAAATGAGTGAGTAACAATTCTCAGGGGACCTATTGCCTAATCTTGCTAAGTCAGGAGGTAGTGGAAGAGTGCTTTGTTCCAATACATGGATACACCTTCATGTTGTAGAAGTTGTGTGTCAGTGTTAACATTCAAGAAAGGCTCTTACAGCCTTTCAGCTTCATGTGGGGTAGTCATGGAAAGGATTTTTATTTTAAGAATAGCCATGGGACCATGATGTTCTGTGTAAAGTAGGTAGGTGTCATCCTCTGAAACCCATGTATGTTGACATGTAAGAACCAGTATTAACTAATTATCTCCCTCAGCTTCCCTCCATGCATTCACATTCAGCCAACACCATTTACCAAAATATTTTATTGTATTTATAAACAGACACTCCTCATGGCTGTATAAAGTGGTGTGATAGGATAGGGCAACTGATGACTGTGTAATGTCACTTGCCAAACAATGTGTAGTGCTTTCCTGATGAAGCCTGTCTCAGTGGAAAGTGTCATAGGTAATCTAATGAAACTTTTCCCCTTGGGATGGACACCTGTATATTTTAGTGACAGGTTTTTACATGGCCTCTCTGATAGCTGTAGCCCTGTAGTATATTGGTCAGGTTATTGCAGGATAAAGATACATGTGAATAATGAAAACATCACTATATACAAACTTTTTGAAAACTCTTTCCTCCTGCTTTTTGGAAAAGTTTCTGTGTTTATTATGCCTTAAATGCATTACTCTGTTTATAACAAGTTCTGGAGCTGCACGTAATGGCTTGCTCTGCCTAGGTTCATACAATACCCAGAATAATTGGGACCAAATTCTGTTGAACACTTTAGATGATCATTAAGGAAGGTCACAAAGTCTCTTGTTTTGGTGCCTAGGTTGCCCATGCCTTGTTAACAGTATGGACTTTGCAGGAATTAATTGTGTGGGTGGGTGTTGTTTGTTTTTTATATTGTAAGTTACAAATGAAATAGCATTAAGTAACAAAATAGCTCTTGCCCTTGTGACTTTCCAATCTGGTGTACCCAGGCTGTTTCCCAGCTTATATTTTCTGCTCCTTAGAAATTTTTTTTTTTGAGAAGGAAAAGTTTTCAGTACTAAGGAAATGTCAAGGCTGTATACGAAAGTGACTTCATATTCCAGTTTAAGATCATAAAGTTAATTTCATTGCCAAGATGCAATGCCAGGATGACTGGACAACCTGTAGATCCACAGAGTTGAAAGTTTAGGTCTTGGCAAGAGCTTGTATGTGACACTCCGTAACAGGAACTTGCTGTGCAAATAGACTGTAGCAAGTGTTGAAAGAGAACACTTCTTGGTGTGATCAAATGATGACCATTCCTGTCTGATCCGGACACAAACTTGTCTATAGGTAAATACTGAAGATGCTTTATCCACAGGCTTTATGCTAGAAGCTTGAATATCGTGCTTTTAAAAAATTTCGTGGTTATTTGCAAACAAAAAGAGCAAGGTTGCTTTGGAATAGCTGAATCAAATATATTCCAGGTTCAGCAAAATCCTTCTTTCCCCAGATACTCCTCTTGTTTTTAACTGCAGAGCTGGCACGGTGCCTTGGCAGTGTTCGAGGCTGGGTGTTTGGCTGTGAACAGTCCACTGCTGTTCCTGCCATCACTGTCCACCTTGTTTCTCCTGCGTTTGTCACACTGGGTGTTTCCTGGCACTGCAGTGATGAAATGGGGTATGAATTGCTGTGTCCCCACAAGTTTTGGGGAGGGAAATGGGCTGTATGAAACCAACTTTTCTGGCTCTTTTGCAACTTAAACTTAGCCCATGATTGGGGGTGTGTGTGTGTGCAGAAAAATGTATGGTCTGCTTTGATTATTCTGCTTTTATTTACTGAGGTTTTTTCATCTCTTGTGGCACTGCCTTCTTTCTCTCCATACAGGTAGCTGTGTATTTATACTCCCCATGGTGGCTTAGCTTACTTGTAGGTTGGTCTCAAGCTACAGGAGTGCAGAGGGATCTGTGCCATTTTAGCTCAGCACCAGGTGCCTTGCTACTATAGCAGTGTAGCCTAGCTACTTCTCATGGGAAGCAGTTCAGCTCTCCCTGCTCTCTGTGGGTTCAGCTTTGATTCCCAAGTAATTTTTATTCCTCTGTAGAAACAATACTGATTAGATTGAATGGGACTTAGCCAGGGAACTTAATTTAACATACCAAGTGCATGAAGATAGGTGAATGCAGCATCTACTAACCACTCTGATAGTGGTTATAGGCAGGAGCAAATAGGTGATAGATTTAGGGCTGGGTGAGATATGTTTGTGTTGCTGTCTCCTGTGGATTCTTTTTGACTTTGATTAGAGCCTGTCAGTGCTTCTGTGTTTTGCCTTAAGTTAGTTCCATGGAAATTCTATAAAGGCCATTAGAAATCAACAAGAGGTTCTTCACCACTATGGCAATGCATAGCCCTTAAATGCCTTGTTTGCCTGATATCTCATGGAACAGCAGATCCAAGAGGTGTTTTAAGCTTCTCAAGTGCTGTTTCACACTCAAGCAAAATGATGATAGGGCTCATGAAGAGATGCCAGTGCTCTGCAATAAAATCCACTGGGGAAAAAAGTCTCCTTTCGTGAGTGGGTTAGTTATAGTATACTTCCTCTGCCTGGGAGGATTCTGTGAGAAAACTACAATGGGGTAATTTAATCAGCAGCAACCAAAGAACAGTTGGCTACAGATGATTCCTTGCATTATTACAGAACCTGTTGCCTGTTTTTTTTCCAAGCTGATCTGTAGTCTCATGACCCTTGCAGCTCAGGCACTTACTGCTTTCATTTTCAGGCTGACAAACAGAGATGCAGCATAGTTGAATGAGTTGCTCAGGGCCATCTCATGTGCTTGGCTCTTGCTACTCTAAGGCCAGAGAAATATATAGTGATCGCCATTGAAATGGCAATCTGACTTTGTGGTGTGGAAACAGTGCTGTTGTAACACCCATTTTTCAGCTAATAAGATTCTGCTTTTTGCTAGCTTTTCTTCTCTTGGTGTGATGGGAGAACTAAGCTGTAAAATAATTGAGATAGGGATTTAGAGATTTGCTACAACAAACCTGTAATAAAAATAGCACAAGGCAAGGTCTTCTTACATTTGTTTTATATAAAGTCTTAGCTGATCAATAAAAATATATAAACCATTTTAAATTGCATCAGAGTGTAAGTTATAATTATAGTTTTATTGATTAGTCATTAAGTTTTAATCAGGGCATAACCACTGGGACTATTATTTTGTGAGTAGTTTTTTAATACGTACTTTTCCTCCTTTGTACACTTTAGTAATTACTGTGGTATAGATTGCTTTTAAATATGAAATAATAAGCCAAAGACTTTGTCATGTTAGGATTCCCAAGGCATCTCTTTGCATTTCCAAACTGTCTTTTTACAAAATGGAGAAATTAAGATTTAGAGCAAGAAACTGACATTGGATTTCTAGGTTTGCTGTTCCTTCACTGGTGGGCATAAATGAGTCAACTACTTTCTTGTGTATCAATAAAATGTGAGTATGTGCTAAGGGTAAAGGTATGTTGATGCTGACTAATCTGTATTTTGAATGTGACCCAGTAAAAAGAATAGGTAAAGAAGAAAAAATGCAAAGGTTGCATCAAGATACCTTAAAATACATGGGAGAAATTGGTCAAATGAGACCTCTTAGTTTTTATAACAGACACTCTTCTGTATTGTTTACAGCCTGTGTAAATTCATGGGAAGCACAGTCCCCTGGAACTGGTTTGGTCCAATTTCCCAGTTGCAGGCTAGAAGGTACAAAATCAAGCGGTAAAAAGGCAGGGGCTGTAGTGTGGCATTTTTTTTCTTTTTTCTTTTAGGCAGGAGGAATATAGAAGGCAAATCTCATCTCCCAGAGTGAGATAAAGAAAAGTACATACAAAATCTGACCCTGTTAAACATAATTATTTTTTCCTATAACTGAATCTTGCTGTATAGGGACTCTGAATATCCCATAATACATCAAAGATTACTTACAAAAACATAGCCAAAACTCTAGAGGCAGATACATGGTATCTCATCTCTTCAAGGAAGAAGGTTGAAACATGCATGAGTTACCAAGGTGGGGGAAAAACCCTTATTATACCACTTGTGTAACAAACTTGGAGATAGGAAACACTCTTACTGCATCCAGGGTTTTGGAATTTTTCATCTTGACTCTACATTGCCCTGTATGTTTAGTCTGCCTGTATCTTTACAGTGAGCTGCCAAATGTGCTTGGAAAACATGATATCATAGCGAGTGGAAAGGAAAACCAGATGTTCAAAAATCTTATTTTTAATATTCTAAGGCGGTGTAAATAACTCTGAGAAGGAGCAGTATTTTTAACCTTCTAGTGCCCATTTTAAATAGTAACCAGGTGCATCTTGCAGATCCAGAGTTAACTGTACATCTCCAGATTGATTTGTACAGAATTTATGTTAGTTTAATATGACAGAGTATACTATTAATTACAAAAACTTTGATAAAGAGAAGCCCCCTTCTGGGCCTCCCCCACCAGCCTCCTGCAAACATGGTTTTATGCGACAAGTTTAAGATTGTCCCAGTTTGACCGATGAGGTTTCCTTCATGAGTGCCAAAGTGGTTGGATTCAGCACAGTTAACTTTACATCCTGCTGGCTTTTCCGTGGAGGTGAGAATAAAGTCATTTGGACTGTGTTCTAGAGAAGCTAGCTGACAACAGCCTTTTCCATCTAATATTTAGATATTGTTATGGTTACAATCTGAGCTTTGCAAGATATTTAGTGAAAGTTTTGGGCTGTTGCTTGTAAATATCAAGTTCACTCTTATCTTTCTGACCTTTTATTTTTGATTGGCTG